ACAACAATATACAATATTCTTTTGTGTAAACTTGCCTTATCATCAATTTTGGATAGCTGAATTATTAAATTATCAAAGAAGAAACCTGTGTTTAACACAGACTAAAAAGGCATTATCATATGTGAAAAAAACAATAGATCTCAAAGATGAATGTCACTGTAGCCAATCAATGGAAGCAAGTCTTGAGGCTGCCTTCATATGTCAGCCACTGCTCCACTCTTGGAGCATTAGGTTCACAGTAGGAGTGGGACTATTAGCGAAATGGGGTGGGGGGGAATACTTTTAAAGAAAGGAACATGAATAATGTTGACAGCTGTTGACATTAAAGATCAGGGGCATATATAAGCACTTAGTCAACTTTTGGAAATTAGAAATACCCTTTTGAGATATGGTGAGAGTTTGGTTTCTGGATTATATAAATAAATTACAATTAAAAAGTAAACCAAGGTAAACCATATCCTTTTAAACAAAAACGAATTTGCTTCTTAGAAGTGAAAGTAAAACCATTACCAACATTTTGCTATTTAATGTTTTATAAAGCTATATTTGCATTTGTTTTTAATTTATCTGACAGAATAACAATTAAAAACACTTAAACTTTGAATCAGAAGGAGAACCCTAACCTAATGAGAGCAGGTGACCTGTGGTGATTTACAGTTTATGAATTTTTCTACACTGACAGGTCACACTGGATAGACAGAACCGAGGCTTTATAGACATAAAAAAGACTGCTACAAATTTGAAACCTCGTGCCCCGCACAGACTACTTTGCATTTCTGCTACTTTTCAGCAGAGAGATGGGAAAATAATATACTGGACTAAACCAGTTACCATTTACTAAAGTACAGACAAAAAGATGGATGCCTCCTACAGTATATGATGAAACAAGCCCATGGCAAAGAAAGTACATCAGAAGGTCTCTACTACTGGACAATAAAGTTCTTCCTCTTCAGCATCTCCTAATAGCAGTCATCAAATTTCACTAAACACTTGCTTAGTGAGTCAAACCTGTGCAAAATACAAATGTAACAGCAAGCCACAAAAATGCCAGCATCCTAAAATATAAATAATTTAATTTCATTCTATTGCAGAAGACTAAGGACTGATAACTGGTTTACAAAAAAGCCCCATACCTCTGCTGAAAACATAAAAAAATACACACAAGTTAATCTGGTAAAAACTAAAAGAAATAAAGTGGAATCTATGTAACAATAAAACTGTGCCCATTATACTGTGCATTACAAACAAAGAACTGTTAGCCACAGCAAACTAGGACTGCAATGTTGCTACAAATTGTTGATTTTTTAGTTTGATATATATTTCTAAAAGATTTGACATACATTATTCTTTAATTTATTAATCTAATAAAGATTTTGAGATCATTATTTACTAATTACTGAGCTAAATTGCAGAAGTATTTATCTAAGAGAGGGAGAAAGCTTCAGTGCTTTTGTATAAATATCCAAGAAATCAAAACGTGTGAAGATAAAGGAAGTGCTCAGACTCCTCCTCTTGCTCAACAAACGAAACAAAAATAATTAATTACATTTCTAAAACAATACTGTCCGTTAAAGAAGAACAACAAGAACAGAATTTTCGTTTTCATCTTAACTGACCTGCATACTTTATTTGATCTTATATTTCTATTAGACTATTTTTCAGTAATGAATTCTGGGGTGGAAGGGGTAAAGTTGGACTAATCTTTCTGAGGTATTTCATGGTATTGAACAATAATATTTCTTTAGAGGCACTTATTTGCTACCGGTAGCAGCACATATATTGTGCTATCATGATTTCATTACTCAATTAGTGGTGATGTAAATGTTTTTGCACTCAGCCATGTCTATTGGCAGCACTCACTCCCTCATCCCTCCTTCAAGGAGACATACACTAAGGCTTATTCCAATTTCTTTGTGTACTTTGTATTTTGAACTACAAATATGGATAATTTGCTAACACAAAACTTTCTCTGTCTTATTTCAGAGCACTGATAAGAGTGGAATTAACTTGGGTTTCACTTCAGCTGCCCAACAGTACATTATGAGGACACTGACTGAGAGTGACAGAGACTTCCGATAACCCAAGTTTTCTCTATTTCACAAGACTTTCCAAAGGGATTTGAAAGCAGCCTAATATGAATATATTCAAATCCCATAAAACTAATTCAAATTGAGAATGACATGCACAAGGAAAATGGATTAAGCACTCAACAAGGAGACTGAAACTTTACTGATGTGATGTTTAGTAGTTGGGGAGTAGTCTTAAGATCTTTGATGGTTTACCTTTCACAGACTGATCCAGTCTACAAAGGTTTGATAGAGAAAACCTATTACATAACGCACAAGGTATCCCCATGGTGTAAAAATCCAACTGCACATCAGTGTTTTATCCTTTTTAGAATTATCAATTAGTTTGTTATAGCTACTAGATTTGGAATAGCTAATTGCATATTTTTCACATTTCAACTAGCGGCTACAAATCTCTTGACCGCAAACAATGGAAAAATATGGGGGTGTAAACCAACTCCTTTGACCTGCTCACCTTTGAGCACTGATCTTTAAATAAATCACAGGCATTAGAGCTCAATCCTGGCCTGGAGGAGAATCAAGTCCTTTATGACAAAGTGGGTAGCTGGTAGGTGGCAATGTGTTTCTTAAGAGTCAAGAGAGGCTGAGAAATACCACCCCACCCATGGCAGTGCTCAGCCAGTTGTGCATCACCACTAGTGGAATCCCAGTCACAGTTAGATCCAGATGCAGTCTAATAATACATGTCTGTGTTACCAAGTCATCTGCTGCAGATTCTGATAAAGGCATTTCCACTTTTTTCTGATGTGACCTATCAATCAAGCTTTTTTTACAGCACTTCATACTAATGTTTTTTAAAGAGAAATGAAACACTGCAATAACAATAAACTTAGATTATATCAAAATAAATATATTTTTTTTTAATAATACCTGTCTTGAAATCTAGGGAGGCTGAGATTCGATTAATTTCAATCATCTCTGCCTCACAATTCTCATCATGATCTATTTATCTTGGCTTCTACATTCTGAACTTCTAAAGTTTATCAGACGCCAGAATGAGACTCCAGAAACACAGCAAAATATGTGTCTGACAAAGTGAGTTGCTTTCTACTCTGCCTGTTAGAATTTGCATAATGACACTAATATCTGAAGTGAGAGGATTGATTTCAGTTTGAAGGAGCGTCAATCTTAATTTTTCATTCCAACAAAGCCCTGAATTCCGTAATGGATGCACTTTGTGCATGTTAAAAAATATTGTGAGTTGTCAGTATTACAAAGAGACTAAAATCAATATTTAATTACACCATATTTTATTTAGCCAGTTTTTCTTTAGGAATCAAGTTTAATTTTCTTAAATTTTGGTCAAATATTTCTCAGAATTTTTAAGATCAAAGGAAGTCTTTTAAATCCATTAAAACACAGAAATCAATGTAAGGTTGGTTTTTCATTTTTTTCTCTCTTTAGTAAACATTCTTTATTTGTTTTACTTCAGAAAGAGTTGAATTCAGACTATTTTATTCCTTACTTGTATTTCTTAAAGTTATTAATGTACTTTAAACACAGACTGTATTCCCTTCAAATACACCTATTATTTATTTTGTTTTTAATAACTAGAATAGTAAAGCCTCTATTTAAAATGTAGATGGTAGAATAGCTTTCTTAAAAGTAAGCTTCCTCTGATATACAGTACACATAAAGAGTAAATCTTTATGAAAAACATCTTTCTTTGGATTTCCTGCAATCACAGCATCAAAGCCCTAGATTTTTCAATCTCCTGAAGGCATACTATCTTCAGGGTAGGACAGTATTTTATATGCATGACATAAAAATTCAAATTAGCATTTTTTAATTCACAACATTGCATGTGTCATAATACAGCCTACATATGATAATTCCTATTGTATTACTTATGGTATATAACTATAAATTTAATTTTGGTTTTAAATGTCAAATCCGATAATCTTTTATGCACTGTGGAATTTAGAATTGCAGTACAAACGTATTGTGCAGTGATCAAAGTTGCTTTGCAAACAAATAAAGCAGCCCTAGCAGATTTGATTTTTGTAAAAAAAAATTAGGTAGTTATTACAGAGAAATCTTTTATTTCCAGTGCCATGGGTTTCTCTTTTAAACAAAATCCAAAGCAGCATGCGATCATGGCAATTTTCAAAGGATTTTAAAAAAATACTGAAGAAATATTATTAAAAAGAAGCATTACTTATTTTCAGAGTTAAAGTTAATCATAAAATAGGACTAAATACTTAATGGGACATTTTCATTTGTCTAATCAACCTATATCTTTGGATTATGAAGAACCTGAAAGGTAAAAAAGCATACTAGAATTGTGAAAATACAAACAGTTTTCTATTTTGATTGTGACTGTGCTCTATTTATATATTCATTTGTGAACTGTATGCACAAGTCACAATATATAATTTAGCATTAAACTACATAATGACATAATCAGGGGTTGCAGGGTATCAATGTATGTATCAATATTATTATTAAAACTGTCTTCCCCACTAACAGTTGTTAGCTCTTGAAGAATAAGCAAAAGGATATTTATAATACATGATGCATCTTAAGACAAACACAAAATCCAACCTGAAACATTGATGACTGACTGCCACACTCATTAAAATTGTATTCAATAGTTTTGATTTGGTGTATGATGGAATCAATGACCAAGGAGAGAAAAGGCTGCAACAAGACAAACATTGCAAAGACTAAAGCATGGATTAATGAACATGGGCCACATAATTGTATAGTAGTTCTGGATAGCCTTGCTTTGATCCTACTGTTAATATCAATAAGTTGGATGGAAGCATGTTATATTATAACTTTAACAACAACCAAACTGGAAAAACAGTCTGCGTTAGCTTTCCATTTCACATTTACATTTAGAAGTGGTAAAAAATAGCCTCTAAAGGGTGTTGTCCAAGTAACCATAAAAGTCATGAGACAGCTGCTTACCTGCCGGAGGGTCCTTGCAACTAAACTTTCAAGCACTGGTCCTCTATCCTCATGAAGCAAATGGACCTCGTCGAGAATTAGAAGTCTCACTATCTGAGAAAGAGCAATATCACCAACACTCTTCCTCGTCACCACATCCCATTTCTCAGGGGTTGTCACCAGCATCTGCATAAAGAACATACAAAGATATTAATACTTACCATTTCCAATAGCACCACACTTGAAAGCAATAATGATAAAATTTTGAAAAAGACTATACATGTATATAATGTGCACAGCCACAGCACAATAAAATATTCTTATCACTTTATACAGAATGACAAAAAATGGATTCTACCCAGTCAATGCCTAATTGTCCAGCCTTAACTGTGATCTGAAGGACAGATTCTTGCCATTCATTACCCATTTTCAACAAACATGGAAAAAAAAATGGTTTATCAGGTTTTTTTTTTCAAAACAAAGTGCATTTTCTAACTTAATTTAAAGATTAAATGTAGTTAAAATTCAACTTAGATTAAGTTTAGTTACAGTATATTTATGTTGACTCTGTCTTGTATACTGGGTCTTTCGTGTTACTGTCTCAGGATGTAGAATGTCAAATGTACAACGTAACATGTTTAAGAAATAAGGCATGAGCGGCCAATCTATATTGTGAAGAAAGATATAAGATGTGAAAAAGGGGTTAACTGATTTCTTTCTGCACAAAGACTTCTTGTGGCACAACACATTCTATGCTTAGGCACCTTTGAGTTATGGCAGGGATGGGAGTTAATTTATATGAAATTCCATGTGCAAGATAGAGACTCCCTAACTAAGGAAAGATAAAACCGACTGTTAAAAGTGGTCAAGATCTTGGGATCCCCCCCCATTACCACGGTAACAATTTGCGTCAGAAGCGGCTGAAATTTGCTATATAAACTGAAAGTTTTGTACCTATATTACGAAAAATACTTTGGTATTATTGTTCCTTGCACGCAATAAACACAGTTGTTTAAACGTCATCTCGGGTTCCAGAACTTATTTGTCTATTACTACAATTGTGAATATAGTCACAGTTAAAACACGTTGTTAGGCCCGACACGAAGCGGTATATATATATATTCACGATATAGCACAGACCTCAAGTGCCTTATTGCTTTTATAAAACAGTTGCCAAATATGTGACTGCTCTATAGAATAAATTTTAATTTAAAAATGTATTTAACACAAAAAGTAAGTTGAATATGTCCCTCCGCCAGAAAATATAATCCACTAGTAGTAGAGTAGTAGAGTAGTGGAGATAAGTATTTTTCTAGAGACGCAACAGGACAGCTTGGATTCCTCTTTCTTATCTACGCGAAGAAGTAGTCTTTAAAAGCCTATGCGATTGATTTGATTAACCGTTATTTATCAGTCAGCGCATTGATATTTCTTTATCACACAGTAAAAAGACAAAATTCCTTCTGGGGTGTGCGTATATCAGACTATAGCACAGCTTCGAATGTGTGTCAGCCAATCAGATTTCAGGACCAGAACTATCCGTTTTATAATGAGATATAAACTGATTTTTAAAATATACCATAATGTTCACTGCTGACTAGTAACTGTGGAATCAAAGAAATTAAAGTTATTACATACTTTTGCTCTGTGTAAATTAGTAAGGAATAAGCTGTATTCAGGCAAAGCTGAAATATTCCTCCTGAAACTGGAACAGCAGTCTGAAGGAGAATCATGCTTCATGTCAAGCTGTATCTCTCTTGTTCTGTTACTGGCAGGCCAACAGAATCTGCCTCAAACTGAAACCAAACTCCTAACGCTCACATTTTCAGAGCTCCTTCATACTGTCCTATGACAAAATTCAAATGACAGAATCCGACTGAATTATCACAAAAACTCATCTTTCCACTTTAAAGCCTTATTGTGAAAAGTTGCAATTTCCATCCATCTTTTAACTGTTTCTCGTAATTCAAGCTCACAGGGAGCTGGCAAGCTACAGGCGCAAGGCAGGGCACACCCTGGATGGGATGCCAGGTCATTTCAGGACATACAGTACACGGACACAAACACAGAAACTCACACACTTACCTCAGGGCCAATTTCCGCAGAAGCCAATTAACATACCAGTAGGTTTCTGGACTATGAAAGGAAGCCCATGAGAACACAGGGAGAACATACAGCCTCCACACAGATTTGAACCCAGCGCTACAAGAGGCCCTTTAAAGCAAGAGGCAGGATTTGAGCCTTTATGGACACCCAACACAGATGTGTAAAATGTTTTATCCTTCAAAATTATGAAACTTAGCTTTATCTAAGTAGAGGTTTATCATTCAAAATAACAAAACTCTTTTTGATTACTAAGTGAAGCACTCTGTAATACCTATATTTTTTTAAGCATACTTAAGCATGTTGACATTATTAAGTGGACAAGCAAAAATAGAAATAAATTAAAAGATTCTTCATCCATTGTACTTTTATGTTTTCATGATATATAAACTGTATGACAAATATCTGTTGATTATTTTTTATGTATTTGACTCATTTAACAAATATGCCTTATTTTTATCAGTAAAACCATACTGTATAAGCACTTTTACAATGAAAAGCTGAATGCTGCTGATAAGATTGATTTTCTGCATTAACAACAAGTTAATTCTTATTAGCAGGCTGATTGAATCCATGCTGAAAGGTTGCTTTTTTAAAAGAGCATGAGCTTCAAAGCTGAGCTTTAACAGCTTTTGCTACAAAATCAATTGATGGTGATAGTGCAATACTAAACCACTAGGCACCATAGTGATGACAGATGCAGAGTTCAATATCAATAAGAACTTTAAAAATGAACAGAACAATGCAAGAGCTGGTTTCTGGGTTTTCTAAACTGCAAAATCAACACAAATGACAGACTACAAGAACACACAAGGGGCTGATGCTGAGGAGAAAGAAATACACTACACACATTCTGTCCTTGAGGACTTAAAACCCTTTCCTCCCAATGCTTACACATACTGTAGTATTACAATCAAGTGAGCATGAAGTTTTAACTCACAGTTTCAAATCTATTGGTTTCCCTTTGTAATCAGGTGAGGTTACAAGTGAGAACCTAATTCAGAAACTATGGGCTGCTCAGAGAATGCTAGAGTGATTAACTGGACTAAAGCCAGAGAAAGAAGAACTGTAACAATTTGAGACCAATAAATATCTCAAGTTAATAATAGCCACCTTCCACATCATTACACAGAGGATGCATCAGACAGTAAATGCCCAGCACAGTTTGGCAGGCAGCAATAACTCTTGATAACTAGCAACTTTTATCCACTCATCCATTATTAGAAAGCCACTTAGTCTTGTTAAAAGATCAACAAAAATGCATATGTTGGTACTACACTTTAGATAGGACACCAGCCCACAACAGTAGTAACTTTTAATTTCAGCAAATTTGGAATTGTGAAGTTACTTATCACATGTATCGAAATATATTTTTAAGCTCCCAAGAAAAGTATCCCAATTATACAATGGGTATTGTTTTGAGTATTCGCACAGTCTTTATATGAAGGCTCCCTTGAAGTAGTAACAATGGCCAAAGATCCAGGTGGTCCAACATTCTATTAATTTTGAATTCAGACTAAACTAATTCTCTAAATCATTATACCAGCTTATCAGAACATCAGTGACTATATCATTCCTAGTGAGGTAATTAAATCTGGCCTTATGAGAATATGACAATATCAAGACCAAATGGCAAAATACAAAACAAAGAAAGGAGGAAAAGAAAAAGAAGAAAGAGGGAGATAAATCTGTAAAGAGAGGTAATGAAGCCATAAGAAAGCAATGTCGTTTAATAGGCCAAGTATCCAGGACCTGTCTGGGTAATCAGAAACCAGGAACAGTATCATACAGTTTATCTTCTGTTTGTGGAATATAAAGGCTTAGACACATCCTTAATTATTTAATTATGTAATTTTCTTAGACAAATAGATTCCCATTTTTTACCATCAATTATAGAGAGAATGCTCTATAATTCTCTATAAAATACAGTCTCTATACCTTTCTCTATAATTCACTATAAAATCTCTATACCTTTGCTCTGTTTCTCTTTAAATTGTCTTTGTTGCCAGGGAGACTTCTGTGTTTTCTTGTGTTTGTTGGACTAGGAAATTGATGCTCAGTATTGTAAATATATATAAGAATAACTATTACATATAAATACAGTATAAACATAGTTAATCTTTCACTGTCATGTTGTAAATATTTGTTCTTTTTAGTTATGCTGCCAAGTTGTTACTTCATTATCAAGCTACATCAAGGCTTGATTTTGATATAGATTAATGATTCTTATTTTGTAAGACACCCCATTTAGTTATTTTGTAACAATCCTACATTTTGCAATAACTGGTGTTAGTCGTGGGATCCTGTGGTTTAAACTGTGCCAATATATTAAGTTCCTGAGGTACATTTATTATCACATGAAACATCATAAGTATTCAGAAACTCTGTATACATGAAGAGATCTCAGAGACTGATTTAACTGATCAGTTGGAGAGCAAAATTCAATGTATAAGAAATGATGATATGAGCATACAGATGCAGCCATTCAAAGTGCGCGATACACACACGTACCAGAGGTAATTGGCTACGGCGTCGCGCATTGTGACGCACAATGAAGCGCGGTACCGCGGTACATGATTGGTTGACCGACAGGGGCACTCGTGGTCCGTTGGTCTCTCGTAGAAAGATTTACAGTAAACGTCTTTACTGTGCCCGTTGTAGTATTGAATATT